ATGCCTCAGAGCCTTTTTTTCTCATAAATTCGAAAAAAGAAAAAAAAAAGTGATTAGCTTCTGTTTAAATGTAAGTACATATAGTGATCACTTACTTTCTGACTTCGAGCAAATATTGCGAGAAGGCAGGGTTTATGCTATTACCTTAACTTCAATTCCACGTTGTTCACATTTAAGATTATAAGATCCAATTTTATATCTGCCTTCTATACCATTTTCATTGTCATGATCTAACTTACATAGCGGGCATAAAGATTCATCAGTAATTCCATAATAATCGTTGTTTCCATCACTACCTTCTCGATATAAATTAGGATATTGATCCAATGTTTTGTTGCGAAAATAGGATCGATCATAAGTTGGCTTAGATTGGGATGCAGATAATACTCTTGCTTGAGAAGTGTCTAATGTATTCATCTTTTTATCTGATATTGCTTTCAGGCCAGGAGGAATGTATGCTTGAGATGATGATTCAGTAGATTCAATTCTCGAAGTCACATGGTTCTCGCTTCCGTGAATTTTATTCACGCAAATTTTAGTCACATGATCTATAATATTTTGAATTTGGGTATAAGAAAGATTAGAAATCGCATTTGCACTATATGAAACAAGTCTTATCTTCTCTACTCCTACTGCGCTAAAAAGTGTCCTTATTTTTCTGGCTCTAAGAAGTTTTTGGCGTAAGTTTACATCTGTAATTTCTGGAAGAAGTTGTTTGACTTCATTATATACTATCCCCATTGTTTTTTTCTTACCGACTTTCTTATCAACAGATACCTCATCTATTCTCTTATCATATTTTTCCGCGAAATGGTACCAACATAAAATAGCATTTTGACCTGATCGAATGGCCTCTCGAAACATATGAACTATGCTTTGTGCAGAAACTAAAGATGGGTCAAGGTCCACTGATCCAGTATTCCTACGAAATATGCTTGATACTTCATCATTGTTAATAGTTGTTGAAAGCTGTTGTATTAATTCATGTTCTACAATAAGATTTTTCTCGAGAAGAGGAATAAGTTCATCATTTTGTTCAGATTCAGTTCTTCCGAAACAACCCTCTTCCAGATAAGTGATTTTTTGCTGATCGTCAAGAATTGGAACGTTTTTTACAGAAGAAATATTCTGGGAAATCATGGGTGCCTCTTGATCCTTTGGATTCTCCGCTGTCTCGTGTTGAAGCTTTTCCTTCCGCTTTCTATGTCTTATCCCATCACTAACACTTATCTTTTGCACCAAATCTAGGAATTCATCGGTCTTTCTATCCTCTTCGCAAAGTGAAGGGCTGGCAGTTACAGCTACTTCTGGTAACGCTTCTGGTTCCACATTCTCTCCGAAAGGCATATGCTTCTTGAGCTGGACTGCTACAGATTCTGGTACACTGAAAGCTTCCTCAAAAGGTGAATCATCCTGTGGCTGTCTAGAATCTTGTTCTAACTTGGCAACTCTAGCCTTAAGCTTATCACTCTCAATATCACGCCTAGCACTCTCGGCAACAGTATCCGTCCTACTCTTCTCCAACTCCTCAATTCCGCTCTTGAGTTCGGCCCTTAGTTTCATTATTTCAGCTCTAACCTCGAAGTTCTCAGTCTCAAGTTTGGCATTCTTATCTTCAACTTCGGCAAACTTTTTTCTAAGTTCAGGAATCTCAGCATTCTCAGCCTTAAGTTCAGCATTCTCAGCTTCAAGGTCTATAATACGTTGCTCTAATAATTTAAGATCTGATGTCATGTTAGATATTTTTATATAAGATGTGAATTATTCAATGTTTTGTAAAAATGCCAAAAAATTTGCGTGAATAAAGTTCACGGAAAAATTTTATTAATACAGGGAAAAAAAAATAAATACAATGTTCGGGACTTGCCCGTGATACATGACATTGATTCCTTAAGGAATCCGGTTCTATTATACATGCCCTATCCTTTAATAAACCTACTACTACACCCAAAACCTTTTTCAGTAACGTTTGAGATCCTACGGATCTCAAACGTAGGGATTGGAACCGTTTAACCGTTTAAAAATTGCTTCATAGTTCCAGGCAGAATTATGTTGGTCGTGGGCCGGAA